AAGAAGCCACCCAACCCCATCAAAAAATGGGGCGATGAAATGAATAGAAACTTTCTCAAAGAAGAAATCTGAATGGCAAAAAGGCACATGAGAAAATGCTCCACATCATTAATCATCAGGGAGGTGCAGATCAAAACAACAATGAGATATCATTTCACACCACAGAGACTGGCCCACATCCACAAGAACAAAAGCAACTGGTGCTGGCTTGGATGTGGCGAGAAAGGGACCCTCCTTCACTGCTGGTGGGAATGCCGACTGGTTCAGCCTTTTAGGAAAACAGTATGGACAATTCTCAAAAAATTAGAAATTGAGCTCCCATTTGACCCAGCAATACCACTCCTGGGAATATATCCCAGAGAGGCAAAAAAGTATAGTCGAAGTGACATCTGCACTTGTTTGTTCAGCACCCTTTACAATAAGTAGAATCTGGAAAAAACCCAAGTGCCCGAGAACAGATGACTGCTTAAAGAAACTTTGGTACATCTACACAATGGAGTACTATACAGCTGTTAGAAAAGATGATGTCATGAAATTCATATACAAGTGGTACTACATGGAAAGTATCATGCTAAGCGAAATGAGTCAGAAAGAAAGGGACAGACATAGAAAGACTGCATTCATCTGGGGAACATAAGGTAACAAAATAGGAGACTAACACCCAAGAATAGCCAAGATAAGTACCAGGAGGATTACTCCATGGCTTTGAGAACAGCCGCACACACTACGGGAAAAGGCAGCTCAGATAGAGAAGGGATCACCAAATAAAGGGTGTTGGGAGGTTCCTCTCAGGATGGGAAATGCGTGATGAGAGTAGACTATAGACCAAACAAGATTGCCACCCAATGTCTCTTTTGCAAACCATAGCACTCAAAAGGAGAGAGATAACAAAAGGAAATGCCCTGCCACAGAGATAGGGTGGGATGGGGGGATAGGGGATTGGAGGCATACTGGGACTGGTGGTGGTGGTGATTGGGCACTGGTGGAGGACTAAGTATTCGATCATTGTATAACTGAAACCCAAGCACAAAAATTTGTAAGTCTACAACTGTACCTCATGGTGTTTCAGTACTAAAAATTTAAAGAAAAAAAATTAAGTGGTTAGCAAAATGCTGCCAAATAGAATTCTATGTAGAAATTATCATGGTCATTTCCAGAAAAGAATGAGAACACACACTTTGACATATGATCTGATAGTGGGACAGAAGATTTACAATCAGAACTCTCTTGGAAAATTCAAACACATAGTCATAGTGTTTTGTAAGTCACATTAAAGTTTATTTAGATTTAAAGAGTAGCTAGTATTTTAAACATTTGGGCTGGAGCGATAGCACAGCGGTAGGGTGTTTGCCTTACAAGCGGCCACCATGGCTGACCTGAGTTCGATTCCTCCGCCCCTCTCGGAGAGCCTGGCAAGCTACCAAGAGTATCTCGTCCGCACGGCAGAGCCTGGCAAGCTACCCGTAATGTATTCGATATGCCAAACACAGTAACAACAAGTCTCATGATGGAGACGTTACTGGGACTGCTCAAGCAAATCAATGAACAATGGGAGGACTATGACTGCGATAGTCAAAATTTTCATGTTACTATTAATTTGTAACATATATTACATTTAGAAACATCAGTGGATGTTCATTCTGCTCCATTTAATTGAATCACCATGAGATACAGTTACAAAGTTGTTCATGATTGGGTTTCAGTAATACAATGTTCCATTACCCATCCCTTCACCAGTGCACATTTCCTACCACCAATGTCCCAGTAGACTTTTTTTCTTCTCCTCACACACTGTGGTTTGTAGTATGGTTGATTATTATATATATCACTTAACCTCCTTTCAGTACTCAATGCTTGTCCAGAGTGATCATTTCCAACTATCAGTTATAGGGTCCCTTTTCTGTCCTAACGCACTCCTCTACAACTTATGGCAAGCTTCCTACCATGGACAAGTCTTCCTGGTCCTTGTTTCTATTGTCTTTAGGTATTATATTTCTTTTTTTAATATCCCACAAATGAGTGCAATCATTCTATGTCTGTCTCTCTCCCTCGGACTCATTTCACTCAGCATGATACTCTCCATGTCCATCCATTATAAGCAAATTTTATGACTCTTGTTTTCCTGGTGGTTGTGTAGTATTCCATTGTGTAGATATACCTTTATCTTTATCCATGCGTCTGTTCTTGGGCACTTGGGTTGTTTCCAGATTCTGGCTATTGTGAACAGTGCTGCAATGAACACAGGAGTGCAGATGACTTTTCTGTATTGTGTTTTTGGATCCCTGGGGAATATTCCCAGAAGTGGTATTGTTGAATCATATGGAAGCTCAATTTCTAGTTTGTTGAGGAATGTCCATATTATTTTTTCAATGGGCTGGTCAGTATTGCCACCAGCACTGAGAGTTCCTTTCTCCCGGCATGCACACCAGCACTGGTTGCTCTTGTTCTTTTGGATGTGTGTCAGTCTTTGTGGTATGAGATAATATCCCATTGTTGTTTTGGTTTTCATCTCCTGGATGATTAGTGATTTAGAACACTTATTATGTGTCTTTGGCCATTTGTATTTCTTTTAGGAAGTTCTGCTCCATTTTTTTTAACAGAACATAAATTACTGGATACTGGAGCAATAAACAGATTATAATCCAGCCTTTACTAGGTAAAATGGGATTACCAACCCCCACCCCCATAAATCTGTACATAAAAAGGAAATAGGGCATGCTTTCTGTGCCAAATAGCAATGTTCTTACAGTATTAGTTAGGAATGTGGTAGTCCTCAAAAGGGAGAGAGCTCAAGGTGCTGGAATGTATGATCTGTGGGTTAGGTTCTCAGCACCACATGGTCCCCTAAGCACAACCAGGAGTGGAGGAGGAGGAGGAGGAGGTGAGAGAGGAGAATGAAAGATGAGGATCTTTGTTAACTTGGATTTTGTGGTTTTACTTTGATATCATATTAGCTTGTATTTTACAGTGGATCTATAGTAGAAGTTCTCAATCTACAGTGTGCTTCATATTGACCTTAAAGGGCTTATAGAAACAGATTGTTGGGTGATAACAATAAAAATAATAATGACTATTATTATTAGTCATTATTACTATTATAAAATATTTAAATTATTTTATAGGTTGGTTCTGACTTGCATGTCTCACCAGCTCCCAGCTGCTAGAGATGTAGCTGCTGGCCCCAAGGCCACATTTTGAAAACCACTGGTCTAAAGAATTGCTTAAGGTGATTGAGACAAACTTCACATTTGGTGAAACAAGTAGAGATTTGAAGTGCCTCTGCTTTTGCTTTTGGCAACTCTTTCTATTAACGGAATAATATGACTTTCTAAGTTAATAGCAGGAAGTCCACCATAATACAAAGATGTCATATAGCTTCAGGGAAATTGGGTCAATTTAAAGTCAGAGAGGGATAAAATCTGGACTGTGTATCCTACAGAAAAGAAAACAAGTAGGTGAAGGGACTAACCCACAGTCTCCCACTGGGAAGAATTACATTGCCAGGACCAGACCGTAGTATTCTAATTCAACATACTACATATTGGCAGTCCTTTGAAGTAAATGAATCACAATCCAAGACTGAAACAGAATGCATGTTTTATACCTAAAGATGGGTCCATATGACCACAACATGCTCAGGACTCAGTGGGGAAATAGGAAAGGTTATCCCCACCTTTCCTCATTAACCTCACTGTACATATTACAGAGAGAATTTTTCTTATGTTTCAGTAATAAGGTTAGCACAAAGGATTTCTTTCCCTACACAATTCTTATATTGGTGTATCCAAAATAACCCCCTTTGAAGCAGCCCCCTTTGACAAATGCTGATCAGCATGAATAGGACAAGCTGAAATACTTTGGTTCCATTCTACAATTCAGTGTCCTGGAGTTTGACATTGTAATATCATGCTCTGGATTGACCAAAGGGTTACCGCCAGATCCTACTATGAAGTGAAAGGACATTTGGTATTTTAATCAAGACAAGATTTGATGCAATTCCAACCCACAGGACAAACAGCTCTGAGGAACTATATGAAATTCAACATAAAAATTCTCCCAGAATCGCAACTCTTCTTAAGGAGACGCTCCAGATTTGGAGAAACAGAGGAAAATAATGTAGGAAATGTGGAAGAAACACAGGAGCAATTGGTGTTCTTGGGTATGTGTGCCAATGAGTCACTCAATCGGTTGTGGTCTGTAAAAATGGGCCCTGAATTTGGAGGGAGTATCCACAGTGAAAAGTTAACCTTATTCAAAGAGAGGAATTGCTTTTGCCCTTGGATATGAATACATGATTTGTAGATCCCTTAGTGCCCTGTTTGATCAAAGTCTCCTAGAAACTTTCAACTATACTGCATTATTAATTACAGCCCACACGCTGTGTACTTATTGATAACATCCCCCACGACCTTTTTTCTTATTTGCCAAGGGACTTTCGGGTTTCCCCAAATTGGTTTGGGGGTGCGTTTAAGAAAAAGAGTATTCCTGTCCCTCCCCCATGTCTGTAGATCCGATCCGTCCCCCTCTCCCCTCATCCTGGACCCAACATTTTCTGAAGATGACATTTCAAGACTGTGGTCAAAGAGGGGTCTGTTCCCACCGAGGTCAAGGCCCTGGCTGAGGTGCAGGGTCTGCTGCGCAGTGTTGCTCTTGCTTTAGGAACACGACCTCCAGGGGAGACGATGCGGATGACGGATACCCGCGGGGTGCGTTATCCCTGCCTGGTTGGACGGCCAGGGGGTGGGGGAGGCGCGGCGCTCGGCAGGGGGCGGTGGGCAGAGCTGGGAGCAGCCCGTTTCCCACCTGGATTAAGATGATTCCGATGGGGTCGCAGTTTTCAGACACCTGGGCCATGGCCAGGGGCGGGTCACTGGGGCGGGCGCCGGCTGCCGGCGCCGCGAAGCCCTGGGCGCCGCGGGCCCGTTCCCATGGCAACGGGACGCGCGGCGCGGTCCACGCGGAGGCCGGGAGAGGGGTGAGCGGGCGGGGCGGCGGCGGCGGCTTCCGGCTGCGGGCGGCGGCTCCCGCGCGGCTCCCCCGTGCGCCGCCGCCCTTGGTGCGGCCCGAGGCGGAAGCGGCGGGGACGCGGCCGCTCGGGGACGCCGCGATGGCTGCGGGCGTGCCCTGCGCGCTCGTCACCAGCTGCTGCCCCGCGTTCCCCGGGGACCGCCTGGTCCAGCGTGAGTAGCGCGGGTCGCGGGCCGCCCCGGGAGCCCCCCCGGTCCCGACCGCGGGCCAGGATCGCCGCCCGGTGCCCCCGCGCCTGTCCCCCGCAAGCGCCGGCCCCGGCGGCCTGGCCGCCTTCCGGGCTCCGTGCAGCTGGTCGGAGGGTGGCCGAGGGGACCCCAGGCCCAGTGCATGTCCCCGCGGGCTGGGTCTGAGTCGGTGGCATGCGGGTGTCTGCATCGAGTGCGCCCCGCTCGGTCCCGCACGGGCTCCGCGTTCCTGGTCGGGTGCCGAAGGCGTCTGTAGGTTCTGCTCCTTACCAGCACGCCCAGGTGACAGGGACAGGCCGTGTGACATTTAGGAGGCGCCCGGTACAGCAGCGAGCAACTGTGTGTGTGTGTGTGTGTGTGTGTGTGTGTGTGTGTGTGTGTTTTCCTGCAAATGATGGAATTAGGGGACTGGAGCTATGGTGCAAAGGGTCAGGCGCTTGCCTAGCGCGCAGCCGCCGCTGGACTCGGGTGTGAGCCACGCGCCGCATTTGGTCCCAGAGCACTGCTAGGTGGGGTCCCTTAAGCACCTCTGGTTGTGGCTTCTGAGCACTGCAGGATGTGGCCCCCAGACAACAAAAACCAAACAAAAGCACCCAGAAAATTAGGCGATTGTGTCCCTCAGCATAAATTTTCTGTGCCTTAGTTGTCGGTGATGGCTTCACATATTCCTCGCTGGGGTAAAAGTTTAATGATAGGAAATGCTGCCTTGAGCTGTTTCCTTACATGCTGTGCTGTTTTCCACTTGTTTAAGATATTATTTCAGGGGCTATAGAGACGGTACAGTGAGTGGGCTGGCGTGAGTGGGCTTGTATTGTACAGGGCTGACCGATATGGGCTCTGGATCACCTTGGTTTAAATCCTGGCATTCAATCTAAAACCCTGGTTCTAGGGCCAGCCAGGAGTGTTTCCTGAGCACAGAGCCAGGAATAAGCCCCTGAGTATGGCCAGATGTGGCCACTAAACAGCAAGGTTAAAAGAGTTCTTTCAAAGCTAATCTCAGAAATATTTGCTCGAGCGGGCCCAGTAACGTCTCCATTGGAGACTTTGTTGTTACTGTGTTTGGCATATCGAATACTCTCGGTAGCTTGCCGGGCTGGAGCGATAGCACAGCGGGTAGGGCGTTTGCCTTGCACGCAGCCAACATGGCCAACCCGAGTTCGATTCCTCTGCCCCTCTCAGAGAGAGTATTCGATATGCCGACACAGTAACAGAAATATTTAAGTATTTAAATGGCTATGGCATTATTCTGATCATTCTGTCACTTTTTTTAAGGTTCAGAGTTTGTCTCTTTTTCCTGGGGTGGGGGTGGAGTGAGGTGCTCCTAGCAGTTCTGGGGAGGTGAGTGTGAGCAACCCCCCAACCCCCCACCTGCCCTCCATTCCTTAAAGCCATCTCCCCCTCCCCATCTTGAAAGAGGGGAGTTACCTGTATTGAATAGTAACCTTGACCACTTTTAATTAGATCAGCATCACGGTGAAGATGGGGGACGGGGGATAAAAATTTGTCTTGGATAACTCGAAAGCCATTTCTGGTGTTGGTTAAAACTAGATGCCGTTTCCTGTGTGGTCCAGTTAATGTTGTGTAATGTACTCTAACAGTGAAGAGATCACTTAAAGGAAGTTAGTGAAAAGGTAGTTTTCAAGGAAGAGTGGGTTACATATGAAAGTAGGAATTAGTCGATCTTGCCTGGGCATGGGTAGGGTAATAGGTGAAATACTTGCCAAACACAGTAACAACAAGTCTCATGACGGAGACGTTATTGGGCCCGCTCGAGCAAATCGATGAACAACGGGAGGACCGTGATACTATGATACTATTATTAGAATGAAGTATTGCTGAGCAGCCTCACTGTATTCTGGGATGGGTGATTTATAATTTGCTTGTAGTAGTGGGGGAATTTTAGACATTCTGTTAGCTGTAATCTATAAAACCACAAGGCCTCCTGGTTCCAGGGAACTCCCTTCCCTTCCTGGAAATGTCCTTGCCCTGCTCCTTAGCATAGGTTGTCTTTATCTTCCAACGTCCTGCTGTACTTGATGCTATGATACATCCTTGCTGCACCATCTGTCTCTTGCTAAATAAGAATGTCTGTTGCCCCACGGATGCTGTCTGTAAGTGCTCTTGAAGCCCCTGGTCAGGCCGATAGCTTCACGTGCCTTACCTGGTGGCTATCTACTTGTTGGGCTGTTGGGCCTACCCTTGTAAATAAACCTCCTTGTTCTCCTGCCTCAAGACTCGTCTCAGTGTGCTTGAGTAAGCGAGCCTCAGTCACAACAGTTTTTCCATAATTAAGATAAGATTCATCAGGAATTGAGTCTGATTTTTCAGAGTAATTTCTCCCTTCCCTTTCTTTTTGTTGTTGAAGGGTTTGGGGGTGGGGTGGGCATACATCAGGTTCACAGTGCTTGTATATTCAGTCGTGGTGCTCACTAGTTCTTCAAAAGCTAATCTCAGAAATATTTGTTAAGTATTCAAATGTCTATGGCATTATTCTGGTTATTCTGTCACGTTCTTTAAGGTTCAGAGTTTGTCCCTTTTTCCTGGGGGGTGGAGCGAGGTGCTCCTAGCTTTGAGAGGTGAGTGTGGGCAACCCCCCACATGCCCTCCAGCCCTTTAAGCCATCTCCCCCTCCCCATCTTGAAAGAGTGGGTTACCTCCCTCCCTCTCTCCCTCCTCCCTCCCTCCCTCTCTCCCTCCTCCCTCCCTCCCTCCCTCCCTCCCTCCCTCCCTTCCTTCCTTCCTTCCTTCCTTCCTTCCTTCCTTCCTTCCTTCCTTCCTTCCCTCATTCCTTCTCTGTTCCTTCCCTCCCTCGCTTCCTCCCTCCCTTCCTTCCTTCCTTCCTACCCCCCACCCTTTCTCCCTCCCTCCCTTCCTTCCTTCCTTCCTTCCTTCCTTCCTTCCTTCCTTCCTTCCTTCATTCCTTCTCTGTTCCTTCCCTCCGTCTTTCCCTCCCTCCCTCCCTCCCTCCCTCCCTCCCTCTCTCCCTTCCTTTCTCCCTTCCTTTCTTCCTTTCATCCTTCCACTCCTCCTTCTAAGCTCCTCTCCTCCTTTTTGTCCTATGCCCAGCAGTTCTGGAATCACTCCTGGAGGACTCAGGGAACCATGTGGGATGCTGGGGCTCAAACGCAGGTCAGCTGTGAGCAAGGCCAACACCTTCCCCACTCCTGTATCTGTGCTTGCCTGCCTCCTCGCCGTGGGTCACAATGCCGTGGTGGGGGCACTCTTGGACATTCTTGCTGGTCCCCAGGGGTCGCTGCGGTGCACACACAGTTGCTGGGGGTGACTCCTGCCACCTCCACAGTGCTGCCGTGTCTTTGTAGCTGGAGGGGCTGTGCGGTGGCACCCTTCAGTTGCAGTGAGACCTGGACTCGCTTTCGGCTGGATATCTGGGGACAGTGGGTCTGCTGGTGCAGGTGGCCCTGTTGGGGATTTTGCTTACAAGGCAGGCGCTTCAGCCATGGAGCTGACTACTGGAAGCTTTTTGTTTTTATTTTTCTGGGTTTGGGGAGACACCCTTCCCAAGCAGCGTTCAAAGGTCCTGGGGCCACTCCTGCAGCTGCTTGGATGGGTTCTGTGGGCCTTTGTGTGTGGCTCTTTGGCCTGGAGATAAAGTACAGCTCAGGCCTGGGTACTGGGGACTTCCACTGTCACCCCAGTGACATTGAGGCACCACCAGCACTACCCTGGAGATGCTTGAGGGAGCATGTTGTGCTGGGATCAAACTCCATGGTGCCACATGTGTGCCACACCTCGGCTTGAGAGCGCACCTGTCTCCCCTCTCCCACCCCTCCAGTACTTTTAAAGAACAGAGACTGCCATTGTAAATGACTTGTGGGGCATGCAAGTGACAATAGGTCACAGGTCACCCTTTACCAGCAGGGAGTAATATTTCATAACCAAATACCATTTGCTATAAATATACACAAACTGAAAAAAAAATCCAAACTTTCAGAGCCATGGAGAACACAGAGGGGAGGGCACTTGCCTTGTACGCAGCCAACCCAGGTTCAGTCCCCAGTATTCTGTATTGTCCCCTGAGCCGGCCAGGAGTGATCTCTGAGTGCAGAGCCTGGAGTGAGCCCTGAGCACTGCCAGGTGTGCCCCAAACCAAGCATAAATCTGTAGACCTGTGTTTCAGACATGGATGTTGTGAGGTGCTGTAGCTCTCATTTTGTCTTGAAGAGATCTCTCTGCAATATTCTGGTTGTATGTTTGAGAGTGTAGAATTAACTCTACACTCCCTTTTAAAGGAAACGAAGACACAGATGCCCAAACACCCAAATGCAGGGTTTTAGTGGGAGAGCAAGTGTGTGTATGCCAGGGCCAGACCTCGATCCACCTCATGAACATTTCTGTCACTGCTTTACTAAGGGGGGGTAGGACACACGCAGCAAGTGCTCAGGTTACACCTGGGTGTACACTCAGGGATCACTCCTATCCTGCTGGGCTCAGGGGACCATATGGAGTGCTTGGGATGGAACCAGGGTCCACTGTGTGCAAGGCAAGTACCCTCCCCGCTGTGCTATCGCTCCAGCCCCTTGTTCTACTTTTCTTCAGTAAGTGTCCAATATTAAGCACCAAGCTGATTCCACTGGTAAGAATATTAAAATGTAGGTGCTGTGCTTAAGTTTTAACATCCTGCTCTAATCTTCTCTTTTTTTCCTTTTTGGGGTCACACTTGCTGGTGTTCAGAGCTTACTTTTAACTTCGTTCCCGACAGTGGCTGCACATTTCCCATCCACTTATTTCCTGAAATTGGTGAATTGTATAAAATAGAAACTTTCCCACCTATGTAGCCCAGAGAGACACACAGTAGACGACTCCTCAGGGCTGTGCTGAGGCCTCAGTCTCTCTCTCTCTCTCTCTCTCTCTCTCTCTCTCTCTCTCTCTCTCTCTGTCCCTCCCTCCCTCTTTCCCTCTCTTCCTCCCTCCATTGCATGAGCCTGCCAGTACACTCTCTTGAA